TATTACCCAGTTGGATTAGACACACTAAGCCTAGCAAAGCAGGAGAAAGTTACACTGTACTACAGAAGCTAGTCTGCTTTCTTTTTCCATGTGTGATGCAAGATGGTGGTGTTTTGTCTTCTGAAGCAGAGACAACAGTGGAGATAACCCATTTAGGGACTCCTGTGTTTTAGACCTCATTCACCAATTAATTAACTCTACAGAATTTTCCATGAATGTGGGGGTGTGCAAAGATGTTTAAAGCAGCCTTGGCAGAGGGTTATCTTCTTACCTTAAACTGCCTTCAGCACCCGGATCTTCAAATTATTGGCCAAATTATATAAATTCATGCCTTTTGATACTCATATAGAAATAAATTGAGTTGGTGGATCTATTGATAAGGATACATTTTTGCTATCACTAATTTTCATATAGTTTTAATTTTTCTGTGATATTTGAATGGATCAGTTGATTTTCTGAAAATAATTTTTCTTCCAAATGAGGACAAGATGTAGCAATTCTTATCATTGCACACTTGACCTTATCTTCTTTTTCTTTGAGACACCATAAATCATTTGCTGCTTAATTCATATTATCTAATACAGTGAAATGTGCTTTTTAGGTACAATCAGTATTAATTTTGTCTTATGAACCACAAGCAGCAACTCAGGAAAAAAAATTAAATTCACACCTTCTGTTAATGTACTTGCTACCAAGATGACACAGGGCTAAATCATCTCATAGCTTTACAACAGAACTTGTACAGATAAAATGCAAAATAAAATAAAATGAAAATAAAGAATTTTGTAGGAAGGGATGTTTAAAATCAAACAACATAAAAGCAAATTATTGAACTTATGTGTGAAGGAAGATAGGAAGGAATTGATACAAGTGACTCCGTGTTTAAAGGGCCATATGTTGTAATAACATCTACACAATAATTAGTATTTAAAAGCTAGAATTCTAGCTTTATGATGCTAATATCAATTCAACAATCAGGTCAAAAACTTTTCTTAATAATTTCTCTAACTTTTAATTACAGAGAACTAAGATTTATAGATAATAAGGGCTTGTTAACAAAATACTTTGCCTTGTCCCTGACATGATTAGTTATTAGATGCTAGCACACAAAGAGTAATTTAGAAGAAGCATTCTAGTGTCTGACAACTGAAAAAACTGAGGTGCCCCTTGGTAATTTTACTTGTCAAGAAGTTACGTGTGATTTGCCTCAAATTTATTGAAGCAAGAGAAGGATGAAAGAAGATCATGTGGAACTAACTTGAGTAGAGAGTTGAATAATGACTATTAAAGTAGGCAACTCACCACCAACATCTGTATTAGAGAAAATATGTGGGCCGCACTTCTTTGTATGACATCCTTTGTATGACATTTGTGCTTCTGAACTGGTGCACACGAGGCAATAATGCTTGGCATGTTCAGCTCTGTGCAGCCAACTTCCGCAAAGCATCTATCAAGTCTTAAAGGGTTATAATATGGCCAATTACTAGTTGGGGACAGCTATCCAAGATGTCCCCACTCCCAGACAGTAAAAGGTTGTCACAGTGTTCCCTAGGGCTTGAGAACTGTTTTGTAAAAAAAATATTGGGCAGTGTATGAGGGGATAGTGAATAGGCCCTTTCACTATATCTCAACAATGCATGTAGTTGTTGTATGTATTCCAGTCAGTTCTAACTCATGGCAACCCTACAGTGACCATACCACCAAGTCTTAATGGAAAGATTTGTAAAGAAGGGAGATTTGCCTTTGCCGTCTTCTGAGACATATGGTTTGCTGAAGGTCACTCAGTGGATTTCCATGGCTGAATGGGATTCAAGCCTCTAGGTCTCCAGAGTCATAGTCTAATGCTCAAACCATTATATCACTCTGGCTCAGAAACAAGACATATTTGTCTCTTACAGTTGACTACATATATGTATGCTACTAACCGGATTCTAGTCATTATGAAAGACATCAGGACTCAAGAGAAAAGCTAATGAGCAAGGAGAGCATAGGAGAAATTACTCTTTAGTGTATATGTGAGTGTGCATATATGTGCATTTATTTATTTCCTTCCTTGTGCCCTGATCCACAATGACAGCATCACCCATGCTAGATTTCTTTTAACTGTGCTTGCTCTGAGATACCACCCAGATATCACACTGCAAGGTATTTATTTATTAAGTGTTGGCACATCACCAAGCAGTACAATCACTTCTACTATCAGTTAACTGAATGCAAGAAAGGCCCAACCTAGCCATTGCAGATACACCCTTCTTGCTGCTAAGTTGTATTAATATCAGGATATAGCTCATAAGTTACTTTGAGCCAGTGGAGATTTTTTTTTCTGGACCAGATCATGTTGCTAAGGCACTCTTGGGATTAGATGCCTAATGGGGATTATGGGCACTGGATCTTCCTTTAGGGAAAATAGTAATAAACCTAAACCTATCTGTACCATCTATAGATGCGTCTGTCAACTTCCTGCATGCACATGCATGTTCGTGCACACACAAACACACACACAAAATAAGAAAAATAAAATCAATCACAATCTTTTTAAAGAATTGCACTTTTCTATTAACAAGTCTTTGAGCATTTTATAGTTACAGGATAATTATAAATGACATTTGCAAATACCATCACATGTCAAAACATTGGGTTTCTTTATTTTATTTCTCCAGAAATGATCCTCGCATGTGGTGAATGTAGTGACAAGTTCATTTTTCCAAAAATAAAATAAAATAAAATTTAAGAAAGCTAAATTGTGATTGAAAAAAACTTTTCAACCATTGTTGATTTACAATATGCAGGACAGTCTCCTTGCTGTACTCTGGCTTCCTCAGATTTATTACAGGAAATTGGGATTACTGCAAGTAGCAAACAGTAATAATATGGAAATATATATAAATATATGTATGTATATATTTATATAAATATTCAAACATTAATTGAAGTGACCTTGAGCAATGAAATGCCTTTCAGTTCTTAAGAATTACCATCCTGGTTTGCAATATGCAATATACAAGTTTTTCCATGTAAATCCCTACTAAGCCTGCTCATCAGTTCTAGTTGTTGCTGGCATTGTGTACAGATAGGACCAAGAGGCAAAGTAGAGAAGGCTATTGTCTCACTCAGAGGCTTTCTGCCACTTGCTAAAAAATCTACTGGTTCTAAGGGCCTATAGGATGTTTACTTCTGGGGTATTTGACTATAAGTACTTTAAGCTTTACCACAACCCTATATGGATTAAAATCCATGCCTTTCTTTTTGGTGACTGGTCAGGAAATGCAAGATAGCAAAGCCTATGGTACAAGGAGTGTCCAAAGAATGATTGGCAACATAGATGCTGCAGATATGGTTTAAGGCAGGGATATATTTTTTTTCCTGTATTTCATCTTTACACATTAAAAGTAGTGCATATTTCTATCCACTAGACAAGTTGATGAGATTTTGGGACCACATTCGTTTATTTTATCTAATTTTTGCAGTTTAGGACATTGGGGGAGGAAAGGGAGGAAATACATGAGCAAACATTTTTATGTAATTGCCCATAAACGTCCTGTACAACCTACTTTTGGGGTAAAATATACAGTTTGGTGCACAACATGCTTTTTTGCAGGAAAAAAAAAACATTACCTTTGGCACAGAACCTGACCAAAAATAGCAGCAGTAATGAAAACATATCCTCCCCAACTCATTCAGCTTTTCCTTCTTACTAAAGAATGAAAAATCCTGTAATGGTTGGATGACACTCTGTCATCAAAGAGGAGAAAAGTATATGAATATTCTTTACACCTTTAGTTTAAATATTTACTGCCTCCCTCTGTGCTCTTAATATCTCTGTCCCCAAACTACATTTTTTAAACGAAAAAGAAAAAAGAGTATCATCCTGGTCCTATTTCATACAATTGTGTTCAATGTATAAATTTATGCTCCAGATGTACCTTGGATGTATTGGTTTCCTAAAAACCTTTTGTAGCTTATGGGCAAAGATTAGTTAACAAAAGAAAAAATTGTCTGATGGCCAGTTTGGGGTGAATTGGATAATTCATTGGATAATTCTCATTTTATAGTTTATTAACTTATATTGGATTTGAATTTGTGCTCCATATTTCTACAGAACAGTGTCTAAGGCACTGTGGCCTGATTTCTGTGGCAACATGCTACTGTATCCTTTGATGCCAGAAGATTAAAGAACTTGGCTCCTGGTGGAAGGAGTAAATTATGTTTTCTTTCTTTTCTTTTCTTTCTTTTTTGGATTCAATCTTATGACTGGGAATAATGACTCAGCCTTAAGCAGCATTTGCAGGAGAGCAATACTCAGAAATTAGGCCAGAAGAACAGAAAGTCATTACCATCAAGCTTACCATGTACCTCCTAAACATATCTGGTGGCTTTAGGTATGGTGAAAGATGATGCCCTGATACTGAAGGAAGAGTCAACCTTTAGCTTGGTCAGTGTTTTTCTGTTGAATGGGACTGATGACACCATTATGTTCTCTGCCTTAATTAACAAAGATAAATTGGACTGGCTCAGCTTTTTTTTTCCAAGTTCCTGTCTTTAAAATCTGTAATGTCTTCTGCACTCACAAAGTGTGGCAGGCCAAAAAAATTCCCCAATCATCCCCACTGGATTCTGCACAATACAGTTGCTCTTCCGTGGTAGGGAACAATATGGTTTTAATATGGTTTTAATGAATGTATGTGGAGTGTCCCTTAGGGGCACAAGAGCTCAGACAGAAAAAATATAACAACTCTACTCCACTTCCCCATTATAGTCATCCCTCCACATTTACAAATTATTCACAGATTTGATTAAAATTTTCTTTCAAGGAATCCACAGTTCCTCTAATGCTATCCTATGGTCACCTTCCGGTGTAAGTCTGTCACTGAGGGATGCTGGGAGGCCTAGTAGAGGTGTTCTGTAAGGCTAAACGAATTTTTTTTCCTTTGCAGCATTTCACTTTCATGAAAGTCTTGTGCCCCTAATTCCAGAAAATATGGAGGTCTGACTGTAGTTGCTTTCTGTGGTACATGAAAGAGGCATCTATCCCCTTCTTGTGATTTCTAGATCTTGAACATGACCCTCTTCTTCAAGGATTGAGGGCCACCATTTCTTATTCTGGACAGATTTGAAGTTGCCCATCTGAAGTCTTTTATTTGCACACCAGAGCAAACTATACAGTTAGCAATGTGCAGACCTGAAAACTGTGTTCATTTTCCAAGTATACTTTTTATAGCTTGCTTTTAGAGGACGTTACAATTGAAGACCAAAGAGCAATATTTAACAACATTTAAATTAAACATTTTGGTGGCATGTGTGTATAAATAGATCTCCATATTAACACAGAAATGAAATATCTCAGATACATAGACACTATTTAATATACTTCCACTGTTGTCAAAATCATCTGTAAACACCATCTCACACTGAATACAAAAGCAGCTTTTATACCAGTTATGTGTTCACAACACTGATTTCCTCCCTTCTTTGATAAAGGAAGTTGCTTATTTATTTATTTATTTTGTCAGATCTGAGTGTCAGGTCAAAAAGAAAAAGAGACGGGGAAATGACCCCTTGAAACCTTGGTCTGTCAAAAGCATAATATACAAAAGTACTTTTCAAAATGTAAATAAATTTAATCTGAGACAACATTTTAAAAGTACAGTCCTGTCCTAAGGGAAGTCCTGACTTTTAGAAAGTACAGTATAAGCACAATCCACTTTGAGCATCTCCGCTGCAAACACCACAGAGAACGGGAGTTGCATAATAGCACGGTGGGTTGTTTCCAAGATCTCAGGTACTGACTCAGGTACCAGGAATCACTGCTCACATATCAACTATAAATATTAAAGCCCTTTTTTTGTCATTTTGAGAAGGTGCTTCGCTATTTAAAATAGCAGACAACTTACATAAACTGGGGACATTGTACTGCAAATTTAGAGGTTTCCACTACCAGTTGTAAAAGCAACAACAGCAATAACAACAACAACATCATTAACAACACAGAAGCTTTCAAAATTGACAAGCATTTTGGAAAGTGCCAGGTCATTTCTTTAAAAAAATACATAATTTCCCCCCATCCATGTTTAAAAATGCTTTCTAAATGTGCATAAAATAGAGACAGACACTGGTTCTGAGAATCTCATGGTGCAGACTGGCTGTGTGCCTGCCAACTGGAGAGAACCAATGTGCTTATTTCATCTATTCTTTGTCCTTCCACATCCTTTAGCAAACACATTGATTTCTTGCTGGTGTTGCTATTGGACTTATACTTGTTCCCTATCATTAATCCAAGACAGAAGAATGAGTGGGATATCTAATCTGCTCCAACTTCTAAGAAGCACAGAGATACCTAGAACTACACTAGGCACTATTATCCCATTATAGTGAACAATCTAAGTCTGAGAACTAGACTGAAAATCTGTCTGCGACATTCACTCTCAATGCTGTAAAGCCATTAGAGAATGCAGTCTTCATCACACAAAGCTATCTCTTATCTTAAATACAGATACTATCATCATCATGTGGACTCACATCTCTAGTTGAGAGATAATGAGCTGTTCAAGGTACATCCCTGTATGAAACACATGATACCCGGTTCCACTGGAAAAAGTAAATAATAATATGTGCCTTTTTATTATTCTTGTACTGTTTGTATATATTTATATTGTATAGATATTACCATTTTAGGAAAAGCCAAAATGCCAGAATAAATAATAAAATATAAATTAGAGCTGAAAAAGACATTTTAGAGGCCCCTTAGACTGCTCATATCTTACAGTCACACTAAGGACATACTTTTCCTTGTATACAGATGACACATTCTGAGTGCATGGGGTGTTCTTCCTGCACAGGCTCTTTCAAAATATGAGCCAAAGAATTGACATTGCACCCCAAAGAGGAGAGGATGGGAAACTCTTAGACATTTGGGGCAACTATACAATGTTTAGAATGCATGCATACTCTCTTTTTAATAAATAACCTGCCCGATTTCTGATTACCATTAGAGCCCATTTGACTCCTCCAGAAACTGTTGGCAAAAGGCTAGCTATAAGTGCTCACCTGAGAACCCAGAACAGATTTTTAACTGGCGATTTAGAGAATTACGTGGATCACTAACAGCTTTCATATGCGGCTTCTTGGACTTTTGTAGGAAGACCTGCACAGCTCTGATTATTCCTTAGAAAAATCTTTGTGATCATTTTGTTTTTGCTTAATGTTTAAAGAGTTACATTAAACAAGAAATATTAAAGGATAAATGCATACACTCGGCTTCTCCACTTACTTCTTGAAGATGAAGCCAGCTCCAGCAACCCCCCTCTCATTTTTGCAATCCCGTTAATATTAGTTTCTGTTGTGTAAAAATGCAACTCTAGGAAGCTTCTCGGGGAATCCGCTTATGAAAAATGACTGACTGTCTCTGCTGATACTGTTGTTTACGTCGTTTACGTTTGTCACATTGACACAGTAGTAACATCTTGAAAGTGGTTCTGAATGTTTTATTACACAGTGCATAGCACATAGGGTTCACTGTGCTATTGATGTAACAAAGCCAGTACCCCAGGTTCCAAAATGTTTTTGGGATACAATGTTCACAAAAGGTATTTACCAGGACCATGATATTGTATGGGGTCCAAGTGATAATGAAGGCAAATAAAATGGCACTGAGTGTCTGTGCAGCTTTCTTCTCTTTGATGAGTGACATTCGTTTCCGTTTGGTGATTTGACTTCTTGTCTTCAAGGCAAATTTCTTGGCCAAGGTGGCTTCCTTGAATGACAAAGGCAGAGCTGGCCTAGAACCCACTGAATTGCCATCAGACGCCTTTCCTGTGTGTGCTGCTGATCCTGGTTGAACTGGAAGCTTGGGAAAGCATTTCTGTAAGTTTCCATCCACCATACTCTTTTGTGGATGGAGCCTTTTAGGCTTCCCCTCCTGTGACTCTGCATTCAGCTTTTGCAGTTCATCTTCTGACTGAGGCAGGTCTTCTGATGAGGGCAGTTTTGTAGAGTTGATTATCGTGTTGTTCCCTGGAAGCTTCAGAACAATAGAATAGATAGCTCTGGTCTCAGAGGCAATGTCATCTTCATCAGAAGAGGCAGAGTTTTCAAGAGAGGCATTGCCATCATTGTTGTTCCAGCTGTCACTGCTGCTATGCTCCTGATCGACCTGATCAGAGCTTGGTTTCCAACTTTTTGAAATCATCCAGAAATGGCAGCCTCCATATTTCCTTCTGTGGGGGCGTTTTGTGTCCTGTTGCTGCAACTCATAGCTGCTGCAGCTTCTAGAGCTGCCTGTCTGGTTGACAAAGCGTGACACCTCAGCTTCACTGCCTGAGGCCTGGAGTCCAGCTAGCTCTTTGGTACGCTTCTCTGTCTCCTTATATATCCTCCAATACAAAATACTCATAATGGTCACTGGCAAATAGAAGGCAGCAATGGCAGTGCCAAAAGTGATGGTTGGTTCTGTTAGGAACTGGATGTAACATTCACCTTCATTGACAGTTCGCTCTCCTACAAAATACTGCCAGAACAGAATTGCAGGGGCCCAAAGGATAAATGAGATGACCCAAGCTAAACCAATCATCACCCCAGCCCTTCTGGTTGTTCGCTTAGCTCTATAGGTAAGCGGCCTTGTAATGGAAAAATACCTGTCAAAACTGATGACCAACAAATTCATGACAGAGGCATTGCTGGCTACATAGTCAATGGAGAGCCACAAGTCACAGGCCAAGTTTCCCAAAGCCCAACGATTCATGATTATATAAGTGGTGAAAAGGTTCATGGAAATAATGCCAATGATTAGATCTGCACAGGCAAGGCTTAGCAAAAAGTAGTTGTTAACAGTCTTAAGCTGCTTGTTGACTTTGAATGCCACAATCACCAGAATGTTTCCTATGATCGTCACAAGGGCTATGATGCCAGTGAGGAAAGCAATTAAAACAACTTGCCAGACTGCATGCCCACCCAGAGGATCAGGAGGAATTTGGGATGCATTACTCATGTTCTTGGGGATAACAGAGAAGTTTTCGTTGGTCTGAGAGAGGCCATGGCTGCTGGTGAATGAGGATGCGTCATTCAAAAGCCCTGCACCGTGGGAATCTTGATTCAAGAAGGAGCTCACATTTGAAACTAAGAAGGACACTGTACTGTTGCTAGATGGGATCATGGTGACGTTCTGGCATAGTCTGCAAAGGGAAGGAAGACAAAAAAGGGGGAAAGGTGAATTAACACTTGCTCTTTCTGTTCCAGCCTCCACCCCATCAATTAACATTAGCTGAGTCTGTGCAGAGCTGAGACTAAATCCAATGTTAGTCCAAAGAGCCAACCTGTTGCAATTAGTGGGATTTAAATAGTGATGACTAAGAAATCCCATTGAGTTCTATGAGTCTGTGATAGTTATGATTAAAATTGAATTTAGTCCATTAGATTAGTAATATTATCAGCAAACAAGAATTAAAGCATTTCGTAAAATAACAGTGATAAAAAATTTCTGTACATGGCTGCCAGAGTGTCATTATGAAACTGAACACTTTATTATTTTCTGGATATGTGACTTGAGAATTCAGAATCTTGAATATTTTGAGACTAGAAAAAAGGCAAGAAAAAAGGACTGGTTTTGCTTTACTAATCTAATGGGAAAATGTTATACAAGGCACAAGATAACAAACACTGTTTAGATTACTATTTGTTATGTTAATTAATGCTGGAGATTGCAGAGAGAGAAATGAATGTTGTGTCAGTTATGGTGGCTTTTCTTAATGATAAGAAATAGTGGTCTAAACACAAGAGGGCTGCTTTACAGAATTGCAAGGGTACATATATATTTGGATCTTCTTATACAATCACGGCCTATATGAACTGTGACATAGATATGAGTAACTTAACTTTCTTTGCAGTAACTTCAAATTTCAGATGCATTTAGAAACTGGACTCCAAAGCAAATGACAAGGCCAAGTTTCCAAGGAAATGCAAACACAGAAATTACAAGTTTTAGGTATGAATGTTTTCAATGACTCACATTCTGCAATGCTAGAAATTTTAGGACTTTCAATGTGTATCATTGGGGTGGTTGCCCTCCTCCCAACCTTTCCATTGTGAGACCCCTAGAGCGCCATGATAATCAATTGCTTGATCATGTTGCTTCACAATGCATGTAAATATTTTGCAAAAATGAAAAGATCTGAGAGAGTTTGCCTTCTGATCAACAATGCTAAAATTAAACAAACTAAAAATTATCACATTTGCAGGATAACTGAAGAAATGAGTCAGTATGGTGAACTGGTTTCAGTGCTGGTCTATAATGCTAGAAAGCAGGGTTCAATTCAATACTTGGTCACTGAAATCCATTGGGTGACCTTGGGAAACACTTCTAAACTAATTTTGCAAAGAAAAATCTACAGTATATCCCCCCATGGTTGCCATAAGTCGGAAATTATCTGAAGTTATACAACAGCCATAACAAGTAAATATTTATATGAGAACATCTCAATGACTGTTAAATTCAGCTTTTGTGATATTGATTTTTTTTATTTTTATACTTGAATTTTAGTGATTCAGGAAGTGTGGATTTCTTAAGACAAAAGTGTTTTGTAAAAAGTACAAAATGGCTTAAATCTATGCTCTCAATATTTCCTTGTTTGATTTTGATCTATATATCATGAATTTCAAGTATTCTAACAATTTTATGAAGTCCCCCAGGTTATATGGATATAAAAGAACATCCGATTTCAGTAACAGATCTTTTAATTATTGATATGGTTTTCAGCATTGGGATATGGTAGAGTTTGTTTCTGATATTTCAAAAGCATTGTAACTGAACTGTTCTTTTTTGAACTAATCCGGTGTAGTGGTTTGAGGCTTGTAACATAGACACCCAAAACCAAGAAAATAACAAAATGTTTAATTATTATATTTATATCTTGCTTTTATGGCTCAATCAGGAAAACCCATGGTTCACAGCATTAAAAAGTATGAAATAGTTTTTTAAAAAAATCTAAGAAAAGTGAGCCTTGGATAAAGAACCTACTAGGAGATTTGTTGCCTCTCCCAAATGGTGGCTCCTTTAATCTAGTCATAACTAATTACTCCTGAGGAAATTCCAATGTGAGACAATCATTTAACTAAAAAAAAATAAGTGTAACTAAACTTCTGCTTTTCATTAATCAATTTCATCACTATCCATATCTCCAATTGATTTTAAGTACAGATTTAGCATCTATTTATTAATTAGATGGGAGAAATTTTTTGCAAGAAATGAAGTAAGAGAATAATCTTTAAGATTGTTTGCTTGTTGAAAATATGTTGTCTGGGCTGTTTACTGGAGTTCAACAAATGACAAAATAAAAAGAACTAATATAGACAGTACAATTTGAAACAGAATATGAAGTTTCATTCTCTCTACAAAAACAAGGCCAGGAGTCAATTGTAGTGCAGACTATAAATGGCTAATTCAAAGTTTAGAGTCCAGTTAGAAAAGCAATTTAATCAACCACTGTGACAAACTGCAATCCAAAGAACACACTGAGGAGTTTAAAGACAGTGGCAGGCATCCTACATTACAGTTACACATTTTAACCTATAGTTACAGATACATAAACACCACTATGATACTTATTCACAATAATGGCACTACTGTCACAATTCGAAATGGCTCCTGGAACACACCTTCAATTTAAGGGAACCATTCCATATGATGGAGGTCTGTGACGCACATGAAAATGAAGCCACCAGCCTCCCCTTGCTTTAAAGCCATGTTGTGATGAATTGAAGATTGCCTCATTGCACTTGTGGCTTGGGGAAGGCCAAGCCACATCATCCTGAAGTAACTTACCCACATCTCAGATCTCAGTTACATGGAGGGGTGGGCTCTTGAGGTAAATTCCTTAGGGTATTCATAACTACATTTGCGTAGTTAATAGGATCTCAATCTATGTAAATAATGGATTTGCACTACTAAGCCCAATTGACCATGAACAAGAAGAACTGTGGACCAAAACCAGGCACATTATTGGGGAAAGAATGCAAAACATGCTATATCTGTAATCAGAAGGGAAAGCAAGCCTAAATGGAAGACTTTTAATGAGAGGTAAGAAGCAAAACTCTTAATGATGGACAAGAAGCAAAAGCACAAGTTACAAAAAATATACTAGAATCCTGAATGCAGATGTTTCATGACTTGCCAGTTAGGTATAGTGGTTTGGGTGTTGGGCGATGATTCTCGAAACCAAGAATTGAAATGTCTGCTTACCCATGAAATCCACTGGGTGACCTCAGATAACTCATACACTCTCAGCCTCAGAGGAAGATAATGGCAAACATTTTCATAACAAAGCTTGCCAAGAAAATCTTGTGTTGAGTTTGCCTTAGGGTCAGCATAGGTTGGAAATAATGTGAATAAATTCATCAGCGCAAAGAAACAGAAGAACATCACAAGGACAGAAACATGGGGATTAAAAGCAGTGGTAATGAATGAGAAAGACAAGTTCCATTTCAGAATGGAGACTGTTTAGTTTGAAGGTGATGAATGATCCATAGGTATATATTATACAATCTGGACAAACCAAAAAAAGATAATGTATGAACAATTAAAAAAGTTAAGTGGAACCTGTTTACTTGGAGAAGTAAATCACTGTAAACAAAGAGTATACTAATCCAATTAATTGCAGATAGGGCACTATGGGTTATTGTACTATTGCATTAACTCCACTTTGAGTCTCCTTGTGGAAAGAAAAAACAGCATATAAATAGCAACAATTTCACAAGCAAGCAATGTGATGCACGCATGCACACACAAACACACACAAATTGTGCATGTGCCTTCAGCTGGCTCCTGACTTATGGTGACTATGGGGTTTTCTTAGACAAGAAATACTCACAAGTGGATTCACCAGTTCTTTCCTCTGCAATATAGCTTATAGCATCTGGTATTCATTGGCAGCATCCCATCCAAATACTATCCAAGGATCAGTTTGCCTAGCTTCTAAGATCAGATAACCCTGCCTTCAGGGTAGTTAGAAAATAACATATGGTATAATAAATGCCTGATGCCCAAGGTATGTTCAAAAAAAGAAGAGGCACAAAAAACCAGATAGCAAAAATACACTGGCATACACTAAAGAATTGTAAAAGAAAATAACTTTTGTAGATTAAATGAGTCTTTGTTTGCAAAAAGACACTAGATCTGGCTACTGTAGTCCATGCCTTAGTTATATCCCATTTGGATTACTGCAACATGCTCTACGGGGGACTGCCTTTGAAGATATTTCATAAGCAGATCCTGAGATCTGCAGCCAGATTACTAACTGGGGCTCCATACAGGGAGAGAACCATTCCCATGTTACAGCAGCTCCAATGGCTGTCAGTCTGTTTCCGGGCAAAATTCGAAGTACTGGTCATTACCTTTAAAGTCCTAAATGGTTTGGGCCCAGTCTATTTGGCTAACCACATCTCCACATACAAGCCTGCTCAGGTGCTACAATTGGCGGATGAGGCCCTGCTCTCAGTCCCACCCCCATCCCAAGCATGACTGGTGGGAACAAGAGAGGGGGCCTTCTCCATGGTCAACCCCCCCCCCCCGCCGCCTCTGGAACTCTTTCCCTAAGATATGCAAATAACAGATATACAGATTACAAGCAGAAACAATGAAATATTAAACAAGTAAATGCAAAAGCCTGGCTATAGATGAATATTAAGAATACATAAATAATGATCCAAAAGATTTACCTACATTTACAGTTAATGCAGAAGACATCACCATTGTTGAAGATTTTTTTAAACAACTTTGTTAGCAGATGATTTAACTCTTGTAGAAATAACTCTTGTTTGTAAAAGTATTGGTTTATAGGGCTGGGCGGTTTCGTTTCGTTAATTCGTAATTCGTTAAAAATTCGTTATTTTTT